GATAACACTTTCACCTTCACTGTTTTGCCATCTTCCGCCAACAGAACAAATTTCGAATTTAAGCCGGACGTCGTTTGCCTCAAAATATCATATTTTTGTCCGTAAATATCATAACTAGAAGTGCTACTATTGGACTGCCAGATGCTTATGTTGCCGGTAGATAGCCGGGGCGGTTCTGTGCAGATGATGGTTAGTTCGGAGACTGTGCGTAGCAGAGAGGTAGTGTCTTTCAAGGGGCTTGTGGATTGGATATATGCAGTTCCATAAGGCCCCGGACCACCAGGAACGTTCTTTGCACCACCATCAACTATAATTAAAGGATGATCAGCAAGACAATCGAGAAAAATTTAATCCTCGTCAACCTACTTATACTGTATTCCGAGAAATTCGAAAATGTCGCTATCTTCCATTCGTTCAAGTTCGCGTCCACACCAATCATCCACACCGAATTGTTCAAAAACACGCCCACCTGTAAGTACCGATAGGCGGTTGGGAATTGCGCGCTGGCGGAAACATTCGTGTCGCTAAAAACCCATCCGTTCACCGCATTCTGGGTCGAGTTTTGAGTAATTACGAGGATTCCACCGTAGAACAAGGGAAGTGTCGCTGTGATATTACTTGGGGTCGGTAGGGGATTTTGGATTTCACGCACGGCCAATACAGAACCCGAAGAAATGAAATTTATGATAACAAATCTTTGACCGTTTTGCACCAGACATTTATAACCAAATGATGTGTATCGTATGCTGCAGCTGCGGATATTTAGGGAGGTATCGTTGGTGGCTGTTTCGTAGATTTGCAACGGACCCACGACAGAGGACGGCGAGGAGTAATTGTTTGCGGGTGTGATGAATGAGGTGAAGATTTTCCAGGTAGAAGGGTCACTAGTGTAGTTGGAGGTTATTATGCAATAATCACCCTTCTCGGTGGCGAAGATTTTGGTTAGGTCGGTGGTAAAGTTAGAGAAGCGATTCTGTGTAGTTAATGTGCCGTTTGAAATCACACTCATTGTCCCATTGGTGCTATTTTCAATTGATGGTATCATTAAATACAACGCTATCATTCATCCGTTGTTAATTCACACAAAAAGATACTCACGATGACCATTTCGTCCATTGGATTATTGATTGATCTCTCACGTAGCAAACTCTCAAGAATCCACCACCGATGGTATTGTGATTTGGAACTATTTCACTGTCATCGCATGAGACCCCAAAACTCGTATTACTGTGCAGTGCAAAGATGTTGACATTAAAATTCTCGGAAAAAATCTTGAATGAGATTAAATAATCAAATAAAATCCAAATCATCATTTTGGTTGAGGTGATCGCGAAAGGGGTGAAAGAAGTACCTTACTACTTGACCACTCCAGTTCAACATCAATCCACGAACCTCATAAGTTTGTCGATTTGGAAAATAAGTTACTAATATGTAATTATCAGGTATGGCGTATACTCTTACTGAATCCGGGATGCCCCCTGATGTGAGATCCACCGTTGTCTTCTTGGTGAATTCAGTTCCGTTCACCGAGCAAAAATTATCGGAAGGTATCTGAAGGTCGCCGTTAATAACGTTCACAATTTTTCCATCCGGATAAATTAACCTCAGACTCAATCCCCGGTTACACCCATTATCACCGGGTGCAGTAACGCGTAACAAGATGGTTCCGTCGTTATAGACAACATGATCAAATCCATTTAATCCGATCAATCCGTTCGATGACTCATCGCTGGGTATGGTTTGTAGTTGCGCTAAAGTTATCTGGGGCAGTAAAGAACAGATTAAAAGTATCCTTAAATATGTTACCACCGATAATCTTTTTTTAAATATCACTCCCCCCGTCTTGGTCGTTTTCTTATATGTTGAATCTGTTTGATATTTTCTTTTCATAATCATAAATTGTTTTTTCTTTTTTTTGCTGGTCCGCTACTGAACGCATACGGTAGGATGATAGGGATTCAAAAAAAATTTTTGTCTTTTTCTTCTATTTTTACGACTAATTTTAATTGCGCGTGAACGATTATTGGACGGGATGGGTGAAGGGTAAGGGTGATTAATTATAATTGGGATTAGGGTTTGATGTATTAACGAAGAATGTGAAGAGAAATGGGGAAACGGGCGAACAAAACATCAATAGTCTGAACTTTCTTTTTTTTTTAAAAAAAAACTCGATTTTTTTTTATATACTAATGGATTTTGTAGTTAGTCTGCCTGCCTGTCTATATTAGTTATATATATATAGATATGTTTTTACAATACACAATACTTGTATGCGTACGTTATGACCGTAAAACTGGAAAAACTTGTAATCCTCTTCGAACTCTACGCAAGGTCGAGTCGCTTACGAGTTTTTGTTCTTGACTTACGACCAACGCTGATACCAAATGTGTCATGCGGAGACAAAGACAGGAAATATTTAAGATACTACATATTGACATCGGTCACCTTGATCTCGCATGGGAGACCTACACATAGAACGAGCGCACCAAACACTTTGTTCGCTAACCATAACTCACACATCTTTAAGCACCTTTCTACACACATGAGATAATTGTTAACACACTAGTTTTTTTCCTATTGTGACTAGACTCCATTGAAAATAATAAATTGTTGCCTTATTCTTTATTAGGATTCTTTATTAGGAGCCGTTACAAAATTATAGCACCCGGCTTTTTCCTTCTTTTTTTTTAATAAGAAACTATCCCTGCATCGCGCCCCTCATCAATATAGTAAATTTCCCGAGAAACACGCGCACAATGAAACCGTGTGTATTGTGACCGCAGTACGTGTATGATACGGAATTGTTCACACACAATCCTCATAGACAAAAACCGTCATGTCAATATGGAGATCCGTTCTCTGGAAACATTGGTAGACAGCGAACATTGGTTCAAGTGATATTATTATCGGGAGAAACACATTGTTCCCAAGTAAATTCTTTGACATTTTTCATTCATTCTAGTTTCATGCTATCGTGAATAGTGTCAGACAATATGTTTTTGTTCGTTAATCTCTTTTTTTTTTTTTCAATCCATTCCGTACATTATTGTAGTTACTGTATTGACTTTTTTTTTTTTTATTCCGTTCCTCATTCAGGTTAGTTAATTTCATTGTCAAATACGTAATAGTGAAAATTGTCAATGGAATATTCCATAACGGGGAATTGCGCGCACATTCACGATATCCGCCGTTAACACCAGAGGACGCTTTGAATTTTCTTCGAGCACCCTAAACATGGGACACGTTTTATAGTTGCTGATTATTTGTAGGATTGACTGACGTTGGTAATTATCGGTCTAAAATTGGAAACATTGGTTTTTGGATCAATAAATATGTAGCCCTTTTCTCGTGGATGGATATGGATACATGAGTTACGTAGTTCCAACTGGTCATGTTCAAGTCATCTGTACGATGATATAATAAGAAACGCGCTATATTCATTAATTTCTTCGTAATAATAAAAATTGACCGAAAAGAGTTAAGTTGGATGCGCTCGTACTATGAAATACAGGTTGATGATCTATTTTAATTTCTATACATAGCTTCTCCATGATATGTAATAAAAAATTTTTCCTTATGCTATGTCTTCTTTAAGCTCCTTTTTTTTTTTGTTTTGAGGTCCCTGTTCCATTATTATATGCTCACGAATATGCTTTATTTATACAAGGAGTCGCAAATTCAAGGCTTCATACCTGTTATTAAAAGGAAATCTTGTTTGCGCGTTCATTATGTTAACGAGATACAAGACCAAGTACAATAGATCAAATATGAAATCATCAGTCAAATCGCGTGAACATGTGATCACATAATAAAGACATTGCGAGAAAAAAGCGTGAAGATTCCGGGAAATCAGGATTGAATACCAGATCTTTCAAAAGAACGAAAGTACACTCGATATTAAAGATCAACATTTTCCAGTGCGAACAAGTCACGCGTTTCTCAGATCCCCAGGGAGACGCTTCTCATGAATGATCAATAAGCCACATTAAACTTATGTTCCATTAACGTTTTTTTAGAAAAGAACAATAACGAAGTATATCCCAAGTCACTATGAGGATATACTGTGTAATCGCTACGTAATTTCATAATCTAACAGGATTTCCTTCACATGGCTTAATATAAGCCGATCGAAAAACATTAATTTATTATGTAAGATACTGTACTAAGTGGGGGATTTTTTTTTCAATTTTTAAATGTACAAATACCCGGTAACAAATTTGGTATTAAAGAACTGCATATTTATGTAAAAAGATCTTGTTGTAGATGTATAAAATTACAGAAAGTATTTCACATATTCATTTTATAATATGATAAATTCATTATCATTGGAAAGCAAATCTCAGGTTTGTTATAAGATTATAACAAACATATTATTTACCCAAGTTTTTTTTTTAAAATATATATATATATATACTGTATATTTATAGTATAAAATAAATAGAAATTTTGATATATTCTTTATACAATCAACTCTGAATTATACAGTAGTTTTAGTGATTGTAAATTTAATTCTACAGTATTTTAAAATTTGGTATTAAATCATACTGTGTATACAAGATATATAGTATTTATATATTATTATTATAATGATTTTTAAAAAAGTTTTTATATAAATTTAAAATTTTAATAACTTTATTTGATAATAATAAGAATAAGAATAATAATAATTTATTATTGTTATTATTGTTATTATTTATTATTTATTATTGTTATTGTTATTGTTATAATATGATTATTGCAATTATTATATTGTTTTAATTATTGTTTTTGCTATTATTGTATTTTCGAAAATTTGAAAACTTATTTAATTTATATTTTAATAATTAATTAAATCTAAAATCATTTTTTATTTAACAAATTATAATATAAATTTATAAAAATTTATTAAAATTTTATTTATCATATTATTTAACAAATTACTATATAAATATATAAATATATTTTATTGTTTTTTTTTTATTAAGTAAAAAACTATTATTATTTTATTAGTTATAAAAAAAAATTTTTTTATATGAAAAAAGTAACAATATTTTTTATATAATTATTTGATCAATATGTTTAATATCAACTTGTTTATATAACATTAGTCAAAATACAATAGTTTCATTTGGCATGCTGCCACTCATCAAACATTTGGATATACAACTATTCAGCATAATACTACTCAGCAACAATTCAGCATATACCGAATTATAAAATAATATTTTATTTTTTATAAATTAATTATAATAATTGTAAAAAAAAAAAGAAAAATTTAAATTATTTTTAAAAAATTAAATTTAGATACAAATTGTTTTATGCCTAATTATAGCTGAATTTTAATAAGTTAAAATATTATACTTGCAATTTAGTGAAATTACAACTAAATATTTACAAGAATTATATTAATTTAATATTTTATATATAAATAAAATAAATTGGTCAAAAATATTGTAAATAAGAATTATATATTTATATTTAATTGAATAAAATTCAGTATTTTATAATTCAATATTTGTTTTATTTTTTAAGCCAAAATAAAATCTCATATCTGTCGAATTAACTAGTTTAAACCATTAAATAAAAATCAATTTATAGTATACAATATAATTTAAAAAATTAACTGAATGTATAAAAAAAAATTGAACTTGTTTTAGATATACTGTAAATCGATACTTTTATTATGATTCACAAATTGGACTAACACAAATGAATCCTTTACATTTCATGAAGATATAAGAAAATTAAAAATTTTGCTTTCTATTCAATATCTTCCATATTGATTTGCTTTATTTTGAATAACTATCAAATCATTAATATCATTTGTAAATAGTCTTCAAAAGTTCATTGTTTTATATAAAGCCTCATAATATTCAACTAATAGATTTAATATTTTGGCAAGTAATATTAAATTCAATTTTTTTGGCACAATAATTCACCCAGAAATTTTTCTGATCCATTGGTAACTGTCTTATGAATATTATATGTATTGTTTAAAAATCGATATAATTCGTCAGCCAAAAATTAATTCAGTTTAGAAATTGAGTCAATATTTAATTCATTATCCAAAAATTCAAATCCTATTTTATCTGAATAGGTTAATGTCAAATGTAAAATTTGGCAGTTATTCATTAGTTTTTGCATTAATTTTGATTCAATTTTTCGATGATTATTCAGCAAAAAACCTATATTAAAGTTTATTAATAAATATTGTAAGTAATAAAACTAATATATACTAAAAACTTATCAAATACACCATTTATTTTTTCAAATAAAAAGTATTAAAAATATATAATGGCCCATAATTATATAATTATTTATACAAATACAAGGAAAGATAAAAATTTGATATGATTTTTTCCACTCTATATTTTTGTTCGATTAATTTAATAACTTTGATTAACCTTTTATATACTTTATTTAATAAGTCTTGTCTTATAATTTAACATACTAAAATTTGATATATTTTAACAAAATTCATTAAAATTTGATGATCTATATCTGAAAGATATTTTATAGAATGATAATTACATATATTGTAAAGAAATTTTGTCACTAATTAACAATAAAGTTCAAAAAACCTTTACCAATATTTATTTTTCTTGGGATTTATTCAACATTTGATGGTACTTGAAACTTTTTTATTATTATTCAATATATTATTTGTTAATATATCTTCTTTAATCCATATTTATTTAACAAGTCATTTGCTGATATTCAAAAAAAAACAATATTTAGAATCGATAAATAAATGTCAAATAGAATTAAAGTAAGTAGGCAGAAAAGTTCTAACCACCCAATATGATTTTTGCTAACAAATCATTTTCATGTAGCATTAGAACTACAACTTCTCCATTCAATAGAATTTGTTTATAAATTGTCAAATCCCTTGGTATAAACCATTCGTTTATATTATTTATACCACTATAGTTATATTAATTGTTGACATAATTTGCTTTTTTCTTATAGCAATAGCATAATATTAGTGCCAAAATATGTCCACATACTTTTCATGCTACAAAAATATCACATGAAATTAAAATTAAAACAGCCCAAATTATTATCTGTTCTTATTTTCGGCAGTAGAATCTAATATTACTTCTTGCCATAGTTGCAACAATTTATTTATAATTAATAAAAGATAATGATTTATTTGATATAAACTTGGTTCACTAGAGCCTGGTAATATATCAAGAATTAGCATATTATTATACTTAAACCATATTTCATATTATAAATTAGCAATTGCTATATATATAACACCAGTACTATATATTTTATTATTATATGGTTGAAATCAGTCAATATTTAGCACCAATCCTAAATGTAAATCAGCCTTTTCTTTGTTAAAAAATAATTTCAAATTTTTATCTTCAAAGGTTTTTTAAATATTGTCATCATAAATATCACAAAG